AGTATCTTTTTTGAACCCAGATGCAGAGTGGATTAGAGAGGTGGACAAAAGATGTGCTCAATGAGCGAGAAGTTGGTTTCAATTGATGTTAGCAAGCTTGTCTCCGCTGCTCGGAGTTATTGGAGTTCAGTTACTTTTTGGTGGTATGAAGGTGTTGGAAAATCTAGATACCTTTTGTCAGCAGTCATTGAGAATTCATCGTCTGTGTTTTGCAAAGTCATAAATTCTACTTACATCTATGAGTTTCAAAATCTCTTTTGAGTTCCAAATTTCTGCATCACAGTATTATGTACTAAGCACTACAAATTTTGTTGACTATCATCGAGGCAATTCTTTGACTTCATATTTCCCCTAGACTGGCGAGAATCACTTAAAGGAACTTGATTTCTGTGAGAGGACTGGGATTTGTAGGAATATAATTAAAGAATTTTTTTTCAAAATATTAGCTTGAGAAGTCAGTTATCTTTTGTAGATGGAAGTGTGGTAGTTATTGTTTTGAATATTTGCATTTTTCAATTCTATTTTTCATCTTCTCAACAGTACAGCCTAACATATATATACACACACACTACAATTACATATATACCCTTGACTACATATATGCATAGTTTCCACACTCCCCTCAAGCTGAGCATATATATTTATCATGCCTAGCTTGTTACAAATATAGGTTACCCTTTTATCAATTAGAGACTTTATAAAGATGTCAGCAACCTAAACAACCAAAAGAATGATGCCAGAACTAGACTGCTTATAAAAGACATAATGATTATAAGCACTCTTATGTAAACTAGACTGAGTCACCACTTCGCTGAACCTCCCAAACCAAGCCTGTGGAGATTGTTTTAAGCCATATAAAGATTTCCTTAGTTTGCACACCTTTCCTGACTCCCCTAAGCAACAACCCCGGAGGTTGCTCCATGCAAACCTCTTCAAGAATATCACCTTGTAAAAAGGCATTTTTTACGTCAAGTTGGTGACGAGAGCCAACTATATGAAGCTGCATGTGAGATAAATAGCCGGATGAGGTCATTTTACCCATTAGGGAAAATTTCTTAGAGTAATCAATGCCATATGTCTGGTAGAACCCTTAGCAACCAACCCAACTTTCACCGAGCCATAGACCCATTAGCCTTCACTGTGAAAACCTATTTGCACCCAATGTCCTTTTTATTTTTGGTAAATCCATTAGAACACTGCATCTTATGTTCTAGAGCCAACATCTCTTCTTCCATTGCCCTTTGCCACCATCGAGTAATTGCTCAGATCGAGCTGGGAACAGACTCAGAATCTAAAGGGCAATAAAGACTTGGAAATGAAGACAAAGAGTGATAGTAACAAAATGAGGAGATAGGAGAGGTACAGAGCACTTTCCTTTACGAAGAGCAATGGTAGATCTAGGCCAAAAGCAAGAGGAATCGAATTTGAGGCGAGGTAGACGATGAGAGCAGTGGATCAGATGCTGATGTAGGTGCCTCATGGTACTAGTGACCTGCGAGAGTTAACTGGGTGATAGGGAACGAATGGTAGAGGACTATGACGGGTAAGTTTTTGAACAAGAAACCAGGGGGGCTTTAGAGAAGTAGATGAATAGAGGACCAACATATGGAGTGGTTTCAAAAAGGAAACATCAGTTGAGACAAGGTACTTACCTAGGACAAGAGAAAAGCAACGATAACCCTCGATATTGGATAACCCAAGAATAGCGCTTGAGATCTAGGTTCTAATTTGGAGACATGGGTTCTAACATCTTGAACAACGCACTTGCACCCAAACACTTTAGAGGAAGGAAGAATAAAGGCTGAGATGAAAAGGATAGTGGGGGATTTGACCACCCAAAATAGAGGAAGCATGTGATGATCAAGTGCACATACAGTAGAGACAACATTTGCCCAAACTCTGTAGAGCTTTCATGTGAAGAAGAGAGTACGAGCAACTCTAATAATGAAGTTTTTCGTTTAGCAACCCCTTTTTGCTGAGGTGTATATACACTGATGATTGATGAATAATACCTCTAGTAGACAAAAAACAGGAGAAAGGTGCAGAAAAGTATTCTTGGCATTATCACTTTTGAAAATTTTAATAGATAAAGTAAATTGATTTTGTATTTCAGCATAAAGGTACAAAATATGGAGATAATTCAGAACGATTTTTCATAAAGTATAACCAAGTCATACGTGAAAAATCATCCACAAAGTAACAAAGTATCGAAACCAAACTTAGACATAATGGCAATGACCCAAACATCAGAATGTATAACACACAAAAGGTTGGACTCTTTTTGTTTATCCTAGGGCTATAGGACCACACGATGGTGTTTCCAAACTGACACGCCCCACTCAAGGTGTGACGTTGACCTTACACTAGGACACAACTTTTTCAAAATGGGGAGGGAGGGTGACCAGGCGACCATGTAATATGGATAGAGATAATCATTGGTACACCAACAGGTTGAGAAATTGGAGTTGAGACATCATTGACATATACAGGCCACTTGATACACGACAACTACCAATATCTGCCTCATCCCAAAATCCTAATATATAATGAGTAGGAAAAAATAAAACACCAAGTGAACATATTAGTATTTGACCTAACAAATAATAGGTTAAGGGAAAATGATCAAGGCACAAAAGAGAGGAGAAGATATAGATTTGGTGAGATTAGCGTACCCCATCCAATAATAGGTGCATAGACTCGTTAGTTAAGGTAATAGAAGACAAGTCGGAGGAAGGTGTAATGAGGAGAGATACTGTATCTGGCCCGTCATATGGTGAGTAGCACAGAATCAATGACCTAGTTACTACTAAACTAGACAAACAGGCTGTGATTACCTAACTGTTAATGTAGTGGTAGTCGATGGGATGGTGACTGGGAGCTAGAATTTTGAGTGAGGCGAGCATATTTAGCTATGATAGTACCTGTGATGGGTGGGTAAGAACCATCTTGAGTTGCAACATGAGCAAAATTTGAGTGCCTTGCACATTCGAGGCTTGCCATGGACGTCCAACATTCTTTTTACGTCACTCTTAACACCACAATGAAAGCAAGTACGAGGGCCATTACCCCTATTGCTCCCGATTCACGACTTGCCCTTTTGTTGCCTTTGCCATCACTAGGTTTCATGCTAACTAGGGCCGCATGATCTACATTAGGATCCTTAAGGGTTTCTTTCCTTAGAAACTCCTTGATCTTCCCCTTACTAACTCTAAGAAGTCAGCAAAGACAATCCGGGTATATCTTGACCACACAGTCATCTTTTGTGGATTGGCTTATCTACCAGGAGGGGAACACCAACCCAGCTTCAAGCATACAGATTGATGTGCAACAATCCTTGAGACATGTACTTGACTTTGTTGTCCACATTGTTTCGCAGTTCCTTTACCATGAGGACACAATGGAATGGATCAGAAACTCTCATACAAGTGTGGAACATTATCATTCATTTGTTGTTTTGAGATTGGTTGTAATAGTGTGTTTGCTTCATTTGAATTTTGGGAACTATGAAAATTTGCTCTTTGGCTTGCTCGGCAGGAACAATATTTACAACAAACTGCCTCGGGAATTTTGTGATTCCCTTCGCAGAAGATGGTGGTGGTCTAATTCTCTGAGTGTTAATGTGATTGCCGAAGCATTTAAAATGATCAGGAATCCACTTGTAATTGTGAGTTTGGGGGGAAATTGTTCAAGATTTAGGTGTCAAGATGCAGTTTTTGTTGACATGAAAGCCAGCAGATGTAAGGAGATACTAGGTATTATGTTTCCGAAGTCTGAAGCTTCTCAAGGCCATTCTGGAGCTAAACTGGAAGCTACTAATTTGCAAAGATTATCTCTTCGTCAGACTGTCGTGGCCAAGGATTGAGTTCAATTCTTCTGTCTTCAAATTCTGCTATCCTTCCAAATAAGGATTCAATCACCCGGACCATAAATGAGAATAAACTGCTCATGGACCCTGGAGTTTTCTCGGAAACACTTGAAGCATTAGATTTGATAGGAAATGCAGAAGATCAAAAGAGCATTTTGTTAAATGCCCCAAGAGTTAAGATAGTGCCATTGCTTTTTTCACATCAGTTGAATGCAGGGTGAAGTATGTAATAAGATGAGCGTTGGATTTATTATTTTGTGATTTTCCAGTTGAATGTAGACAAATGTACTCGTCTTTTAACTGCTGCAATGGAATGTGGAAACGTTCAGAAGAACCCTTTGAAAAGCCAGATGGATGAAGCAGTCAGCATGCTTAAAGAATTGAAGCAACTTTATGCTGGATTAGATGAAAGGTCAGTTTAAATATGGTGCTTTAGTTTTTACAATATCATCCTAAATTTGTCATCTGTTTTCCAATTGCTGGTTATGACTCGAAGTTGTTGCATGGTAATTTGCATTTGCATTTACTTGGTGGTTAGATTAATGTAGTGCCATTTAAACACTTAATAATTTTTTAGAAAATAATTAATTTCAGTGGTCAGCAAGTGGAGAACAACGTTTCAACAATTAGAGAAATTTGCAAGAGGTTGCAGTCAACAAGGCAAACAGTGGAGCCTCACTTGAATCAGCTATTCTTGTAGCAGAGTAGGAGTGTTAAAGGCAAGGCAACAGAGACGGGCGTGGGCTCTGGTGAGGGTATGGCATCAGAAGGAAAATGTGATGAGGGAAACATTGACAGTAAGATGGAGGGTTTGGCAGTTCCTATAGCTTCTGGTTCCCAATCCCAAACCCAAGCCAATTGTCAGGATCAGGAAATTGAAAACTAGGGGATGGGAAAAAGAACGCCTAAGAAAAAGAAAGGGGAAACATTAGTAACCAAATCTCAGAATTCCTATTTCTGAAATTGATTACCATCTACTACATGTTGTAGTGTCAAATTGAAATGGCTAGGTTTGTGAGTCTTTGGTTGTAAGAACAAATAATTTCATGTTTTTAATATATCATGATAATGCTAGCCTTAGTTTTACATTTACTATTTGAACTAAGGGCTGATTTGATCTCTGATTCAAGAGTAATTTTCAAAAACTCAAAACAACAAATCAATTACCATCTTCTTGATTAGTCCTCAAATAAGTGAATAACCCTCCACCTCAAATTTCTTGGGTGAAAGTTATCTATTGCTCTTTAGCCTCTGACATTTCCATCAAGCAAACTATATATCATTCCCTTACAAGAGTAAGGCCTGAAATCACTAGGATCCTCTTTCTCCAATTCTTCATAACTCTTCAAGGCCTCCTCTACATTCTTTTGCATGAACTGAATTTGCGCCATTATCAACCTCACATCTCTAGCTTCTTTCACTTTGTTTGCGCCTCCTCTACGTTCTTTAGCAGATTGATATTGAGTTTTTGAACTGCAGTACATATAGCAGCTTTAGTATCCCCTACCTCTGTGACCAACTCTGCTGTTACCTGCAAATTAATGTAAACTTAATTTTGCACACACTAAAACAACAATAACAAATGAATTAACAGAAGAAATAGCCATACCCCTTTACTGGCACAAATGTCCCTAGCTTTCTCCAAGTAAGCCAATGCAAGCTTCCTATGATTCTCTTGAGTAGAGTTCACAAAATCCAAATCTGTCACATGCACAGCACAAAATCACTCATCTAATTATAAGAACAAACAGTGATCTAAACAGGTGATTAAGTAGGAAGACTTAACTGGCCGCAGTAGGGCAGTACATGCGAGCAGAACCAAGAGATGAAGCGAATGTGTAGTTATAATTGGTTGGCTGCTGCGCCATGAAGATAATAAACTGACCCTTGTTGATAGAATCCTTCAGATTGTCAAGAACCCACATGAGTGCATAGTGACTGTACTCACTCTCATCAATCGCCAACATCACCTTTATCACTTCCTCCTCCTGCTAAAAGCACCTCAACCATCATTTCTTTAAAGGGTTTCTCAGATAGAGCTAAGAAATACAGACAAATTATAGCAAAATCTAGCGGGCGTCCCCTCTCTAAAACTCCCACCACCCCAAGCCAAGCTGTGATTGCCCGCCTGTGGGAGGGTGGCTACTGCAAGTGGGCACACTGAGGCGTGCGCGCAGTATGGGTCTTTTCCTCGAGCACCTGGCGTGCGACCGAGAGGAGGAGAGCTGGGAATGGTTGGGGGATGATGGAAACCCAGAAGAACACCCACAGTCAGTTCAAAAAACACAACACAACACTCAATAGCAACAACCAACACAAAACTACAAAAAAATCAGCCTCGAAAAAGCTCCAAAACGAGTAAACCGCAAAAACCCAGCGGCGAGAGGGCAGCCTTTCACGGCCGACGATTGGAGGGAAACTAGTTAACAGGGTTTGAGGGGTTTTAGAGAGGAGGCATCGGCGGTTAAGAGGGTAGTGTTAGACTTGATTTTCGTCCCCGGAATCGCCGGAAATCGGCAAGAAGCGCGCGATTCCACAGCGAGCGGCGCCGACGGTTTGGCGGTGTAGAGGGTTGATATGATAGGGGTTTTGATGAAAGAAGTTAGGAGATATGTTTGGTGGTGTCGATGCATTCCAACAACGTTGGAATCAGGTCAATTCGGCCTGAAAACGGCAATCGCGAGGTGGAAGAGGAAGGTTGAAGAAGAGGTTGGGATTGAAATAAATTTGAACTTAACATGGTTATTTTTCTAATTTTACTAATTTGGGGTTAAAAATAATTATTAATTTATTTGTCAAGGGCTAATAGGATCCTCCGCACCTTAACAATTGTTAACCCATCGGTTTAATGTCGTTTACTCTATTAGTTATAATATGGCATTAAATTATAACCCATCGGTTTAATGTCGTTTACTCTATTAGTTATAATTAGAGGTGGAACATTTGGGCTGGGTTAGGTCGGTCAAGCCTAACCCGGCCTGTAAAAATGCGGGTTAAACCCGACAGTAACCTCCGAGCAAGTTGGGTTGCACAATGGCAACCCGCAACCCGACAGGTTGCTGTTTTGTCTCTTTTGCAAGAGACCCACCAACCCGTCGGGTTAGCCGAAAAAAATAAAAAATAAAAATTTTTATTTTATTTTTCAAATTACCCCTTTACCCTTGAAATATAGCCGTTTTATAGCCGTTGGAAGAGTCTTTTTCATCATTTTTCTTTCCCATTTTTTCCTATAAATTGGCTCTAAACTCTCACATTTTTCTCACAACTCAAATTCTCTCATTCTCTCATATTCTCTAATCTCTAATCTCTCAATTATTCATTTATTAGTTTTTGCAATTTGCTCGTTTTTTAATTTTTATTAGTTTTTGCAATTTTTAATTCATATTTCCAATTTTCCAAATTCCAATTTCCAATTTCCATATTCCAATTCTATTTCTTTAATTTTTATTTTTTCTACATCAATTTTTTTTTTTTTCAACTACAATGGATAGATATTTCTCTCCCATCAATTACAATGATGACGGAAACTACTATCCTAGTCCTAGTCCCGCTGATTTTACTAATATAAATGCAGGAGGAGATTTAAATAGTCCCGCTTTCCCATTCTCAGAATCCGATACACCTCAAACTATGCCCTCGATTCCAACAGCTCCCGGTGGTTCTAGAAGTCGTCTTTGTAATCGTCGTGCTCGTCCAACTTCATCTCAAACTAAGGCGGGATCATCAATTGCCGTCAAAAGTGAAGACAGACACACATCAGACATTTGAGCGCATTTTGACAAGTTTTATGAGACAGAAAATGGCGTTCAAGTCAAGAAAGCGAGATGCAAATACTGTGGAAATATTTATAAAGCTGATTCAGGTAATGGTACTAGTACTTTAAAAAGGCATGCTAATAAACATATTAATCAACATGGAAATAGAGAAAGCAATCAAACTCAAATAACTAATATGGGTACTAATTGACGTTATAGTTCTGATGTATATAGGGAATAGTTAGCTTTATATATTGCTACAACTGATCAACCTATTATGGCTGAAGATAAATATTTTGAAAGATTTGTTCAAAATTCATTTTTTCCAGGATATAAAAGTTATTCTAAAACTGCAACTAGAAATGATTTAATAAAATTGCTTAATAAAATGAAATTAGAATTAAAAAATAAAATACATACTTATCATGTTAGTGTGGCTCTAACTACCGATATTTGGAGTGGTAGAGCTAAACAATATTATATTTGTGTGACTAGTCATTATTTTGATAATGAATGTAAATTAAATAAATCTTTATTAGGATTTAGATTATTGGATGTTGATCATAGTGGTGAACAAATTTATAATAAAATTGTTGAAGTTTTAGAAGATTATGATGTTGTTAATAAAGTGATAAGTTTAACTTTAGATAATGCAAGTTCTAATAATAAAGCTATAGATTATTTTCAAAGTAATTATCCTTTATATAACAATTTGAAGTTTTTTCACCAACGTTGTGCATGCCATGTTATTAATTTAATTGTGAAAAGTGGTATGAAAACAATTAAAGAAAATGTTAATAGAATTAGAGATTGTTTAGCTTGGATTACTAGTAGTAATAAAAGAAATGTTGAATTTCAAGACGCTTGTATAAAATCAAATATATCTCCTAGAACTTTTGCATTAGACATACCTGTTAGATGGAATAGTACTTATTTAATGCTTGATTCATAAGTAACTTTTTGAAGTCGTTGAATTGCTTTGATGAACTTCTATGGCTGGAAGATGAGTTGGGAAACTTCGTGGATGCTGCAAATATTGCAAAAATGAGAGGCGATATTTCTCCGTGCAGCTGATTTGCTACAGAAAGTGGGAATTTTAAAGACGAAGTTGAACTATACTTCATTACGTGTTTTCCAACTCTCTATGGTCATCGGGGAGCAAAGGCTGGCCTTTGAAGCAGTTTAGAGAAAAGGAGGAGCTTTGGGAAAAGCCAAGTCATTAGCGGAGAATGACTCGTACCAATTTTGAATTTGTTCAAATGAAGCTGACATTTTATCAACTGAGCAGTGACACCTAAATGTGAGTCATCAATTAAATGTTCGAAGAGACATCAGAGTATCAGAGGTAAATATATTCTGTCCGAACCATTTGGATTTCCATCTTCATTTAAGTACCTTAATATGGTTGGGAAGACGAATTAGTTCTGATCTCATAGCATATTCAGAAGACACAATTCATAGAAACCAGGTTTGTTGAGACCCTTGTCTACTTTTGGAATTACTGGAAGAATATGAGTGAAGTACTTGAGTACTTGAGCATCTGCAAACACGAGATGTTAACAACTGCAGAAGTTATGGTGATTTCTGCTTGAACTACCTTAGTGATGGAAGCAAACAGCAATCTTGGTACCAAGTATCTTTTGCTGAACCCAGATGCAGAGTGGATTAGAGAGGTGGACAAAAGATGTGCTCAAACGAGCGAGAAGTTGGTTTCAATTGATGTCAGCAAGTTGTCTTGCTGCTCGGAGTTAGTGAGTTCAGAGTTACTTTTTGTTGGTATGAAGGTGTTGGAAAATCTAGATGCCATTCGCAAGCAGTCATTTTGATTCATCATCTCCGTGTTCTGCAAAGTCAGAATTATCTTACATCTATGAAGTTTCAAAATCTCTTTTGAATTCAAGTTTCTGCATCACCAGCATTATGATACTAAGGCACTACAAAATTTTGTTGAACTATCAACGAAGCAATTCTTTGACTTACATTTCCTCTAGACTGGCGAGAATCAGAAAGGGAACTTGATTTCTTTGAGAGGAACTGATACTTGTAGGAATATAATTAAGAGTTATTTTTCAAAATATTGGCTTGAGAAGTCAGTTATCTTATGGGCAGATTGGTAGTGTGGTAGTTATGATTCGGGTCTGGTAAGCGATAATGAGGTGTTTGAGAATGTTGCAAAAAGTTTTAATGAAAACACCATGGAAGAAATTTGTAGAGAGCCTCTCTGGGAATATGGGATTATGCTATAACATTGAACTTGTTCAGAAGTTCTTGGAGCTTTGAAAGATTATGATGCCAACTGGAGGATAGGCTATATATCACCTTCTAATTTTCTGTACTTATTGAGCGGTTTTTGATTATGTTGTCTACCAGCGCCACGGGTATATCTTGACCAACAGTCATCTTTTGTGGATTGGCTTATCTACCAGGAGGGGAACACCAACCCAGCTCAAGCATACAGATTGATGTGCAACAATCCTTGAGACATGTACTTGACTTTGTTGTCCACATTGTTTCGCAGTTCCTTTACCATGAGGACAAAATGGAATGGATCAGAAACTCTCATACAGTGTGGAAAATTATCATTATTTGTTGTTTTGAGATTGGTTGTAATAGTGTGTGTTCTTTTGAATTTTGGGAACTATGAAAATTTGCTCTTTGGTTGCTCGGCAGGAAACATATTTACAACAAAATGCCTCGGGAATTTTGTGATTCCCTTCGCCGAAGATGGTGGTGGTCTAATTCTTGAGTGTTAATGTGATTGCGAAGATTTAAAATGATCAGGAATCCACTTGTAATTGTGAGTTTGGGGGGAAATTGTTCAAGATTTAGGTGTCAAGATGCAGTTTTTGTTGACATGAAAGCCAGCAGATGTAAGGAGATACTAGGTATATGTTTCCGAAGTCGAAGCTTCTCAAGGCCATTCTGGAGCTAAACGGAAGCTACTATTTGCAAAGATTATTCTTCGTCAGACTGTCGTGGCCAAGGATTGGTTCAATTCTTCTGTCTCAAATTCTGCTATCCTTCCAAATAAGGATTCAATCACCGGACCATAAATGAGAATAAACTGCTCATGGACCCTGGAGTTTTCTCGGAAACACTTGAAGCATTAGATTTGATAGGAAATGGAGAAGATCAAAAGAGCATTTTGTTAAATGCCCCAAGAGTTAAGATAGTGCCATTGCTTTTCACATCAGTTGAATGCAGGGTGAAGTATGTAATAAGATGAGCGTTGGATTTATTATTTGTGATTTTCCAGTTGAATGTAGCAAAATGTACTCGTCTTTTAACTGCTGCAATGGAATGTGGAAACGTTCAGAAGAACCCTTTGAAAGCCAGATGGATGAAGCAGTCAGCATGCTTAAAGAATTGAAGCAACTTTATGCTGGATTAGATGAAAGGTCAGTTTA